CACAAGATGATTAATCATATTGAGATAATTTAGAATTTACTGCAACTAGATCTACTTTGTAGTTTATTGAGGAAGATGTTAAATGATATTAATTGATAGGTAATGCTTATCGTATCCGCCTTAATTGGATTGCTAATTATTGTTTCGCTACGGCTTGAGATGTGTCTATTATTGGATTCCACTTTGTACAGCCGAGAACGCAAATATAATAATGTACTTATGAATTTTGTGAAGGTGAGGTATTTCAACGCGAGCTCAGATTTTAGGAGGCGAGGTGCGGGGGTACCGCCCGTGCGTCTTAGCGGTGCCTGTCGTTAAACCGCTAGCACATCCAGGACACTCCATACAACAATCAAAAGTTATTTACCTACTACTACTACTACTACTACATACAGCAAGCGGCTATCTATACATGCGTAAATGTGCGCGTGAAGTGGCAGAGTTAACCATCACTTGTACGTGGTCAGAGCGGCAAATATTGAAAATTGTAAAAGAAATCTGTTATCTTTAATTCTATTAATAGAATCCTAATAATTGCACATGTTCATTAGGTATTTATATCGATTTAATATTATAATAGTCTTCATTAATTCACTAACTAGAATAATATTGAAGAGTTATTTAAAAAATATATTAAAAGCACTTAAAATATTATACTTTGGATAGGTACTTTTAAATAAGGTAACCAAGGTATTTGAAATAGCGTGTCCCAAGTTTATAATTACCTAATTAATAATTGGGTATATTCACTACGTAATATTTATCGGCAATACAAATTGAAAATTCGAGAACCCTTGTCGACTAGCCCACGAAGTTATGGCGTATCATTACATGGATACAACAAATCTGCATTTTAGATACACTGCATTAAAAAAAATGAAGGAAACAATAACTGAATAAGTCTCAGACACAAGTTTTTAACTGTTTTTTTTTTGTATGTATGTTACGCGGTAACTCCGCAATTTGTGAACCGATTTTAATGATTCTTTTTTGTTGGAAAGAGGGTACCTCCATAGTGGTCCCATTTCATTTTGAAGAAAATTATCCACCTCTTAGGGTGGCTGTTCATACATGAAGATTCATTTTTGTAAATAGCGCCTAAATTTTATTAGAAGGAGCAATTATTTTAATGGTTGATTTTGCTATTCTCATATTCTAGGCGTTTTTCTCTCTCAATATACTTTGAGAACCGACTTTTATTATCTCCTGTGTCAAGTTCCGTATAGTGGCGAACTAGGGAATGAAACTGATTTCAATAAAACTTGGCAAATAGATGTAATCCGTCGTAATAGATGTAATCGTACTTTTAAGGTCGGTTTTTTTAGTACTCTGTACTGAGATTATTTTAATCTTCGTTTCATCTTTCGGAAAACGAAAAAACTCCTCTCTTTATCCCGTTTAGATGATGATAGACAGCCGCACACAACACAATTCACGACCATTATAAATAGTAACGACACAATATTAACGTAAAAGTAAATTTAATAACTATAAGTTTTCAGTTGAATACCAATATTTAGCATGTTCCCTGCAGTACTTAAAGAGAAATATCTTCATATGAAAATTATGTGCAAATTATAAATATAATTTTTATAATAATTATAATTGATGTTTTATTATTTCAGTAATTCGTCTCAAACTTTAGTTTAGCGCGTCTTCGGGACTGTATATGATCTGGTGAAGTCCATCCTATCGTGTAACAAATTAGCACATTCTTTAGACCATATTCTTATATGTATCGTATACTTTTTGTTAGACCGTTATTTAATAGTAAATATCTAAAACATTTGGTCTAGCAAAATAGTTTTTCCCGCTCCTCCAGTGCCTCGCCTTAACGAACACAATGACGAAAAACACGCGAACACGCTCTCGTTAAACTGAAATAATATATATCTATTTGAAATTTAAATAATTTATACAAGCGTTATATATTGCACCTCAATGAGTTTGTAAAGACGACTGTTAAAAAAACTGTCAGCCAGTTCATTTTTACTCCTCGCAATAATGTAACGGCTATGACTATTTTTCCCAACAATAAAACATATAATTATTAGGAAATGAAACTATTTTTCCGGATTTAAATAGTTTCATTTCCTAATAGTGATATGTTTTATTTTCCCTTTGCAGGTTCCATGGTTGCGGTTAACATGGGACCTGTAAAGGGCCCGAAACGTCGGTTTGTTTGAAAAAACAAATATAGGCGATTTAAATCCGGAAAAATAGTTTCATTTCCTATGTATAACAATCGCGAAAACCTAATAACTCGATACATATCACTATTCTTCTCAACTATCGGATACACAAATATATACTCGGTATTTTCAACGTAGACTACGTTTCCTAAACGTAGTCATCATTGACACAGGTATAAGAATGTTAATTTCTTTAAAATTCTCTCTCAGAGGTCCAGATTGTAAGTTGCCCTAACAGCAAATTGTTGCAGGACAGTCCCATATCTTTCTACATTAATTTTGATTATAGTGACATTCCCCACTGACCCTTAGGGTATACAAGAAGGGCACTATAACCTGTGCGCACACAGAAACCTTGTAAGTTCACGTTCTGATCACAGATCAGCCAGTGTACAGGTGTGACGGTGTGACCTCCTTACTCATTTTGTTTTCGTACCACGGTCACTCCCAGCTCGACCGCCACAACAGTCGGAGCTGTTTCAAATTCCATCGCGAATAATCGCTAATTTTGGTTCTTTACTACGCTTACAATCATTAAATAAGCTAAATCCTGTGTAAATAAGTCTACAGCCTTCATGTACCTATATCTGTAATTCAGTTACTCGCCCCATTTAGGGGTAAGTGCCTTAATAATAAAGTGTAGGGAGTGTTTTATGCTGTTGTACCTGTTTTTTTACATTTACCTTTTTAAAAATACAACTTTATCTAACGTCTGTCTAACATTAGATAATGTAAATTTCAAACGATTTGTTCCACATTAAGAGCAGGTCGTTAATTACAAACCATTCTACTACCTTCGAAATACTATGGTTCACATTCTTGTAGGAACGTCGGTGCTTTTAACTTTACGTAATGCGAAAATATTACCAGCCAACAACACTATCTCATGTTCTACACCTTTCGTAAGACTAGGTGTGTCATTAACATAAACTAAAAACAAAAATGGCCCTAAAAGTGATCCTTGAAGGAAACCCACGCTAATTGGAAACCGTGATCATTTCGTACGGACGTACATGAAAAGGCCATAGTCAGCCACGTTGGATCAATACAGATGACATGTTTTAATAGCGCTGTTTTCCCCTCATTGTCACCGACTTGTGAATGTTGACTTAGAAATTAATTATTAATTTTAAAATAATGTCCAAGTTAATATTCACAAATTTTTCTCGATTTATATTCTTTCTGTGTATCATTTACGTTCTGGGGTTTCTCTCAGGGAAAAGTTTAAGGAAATTGGTATCATGGCTGTGGGCACCACAGTACATTTACTCAAATATTTATATTATATAAATATTTACTTTAAGAGCTAAGTCCGACCTCATGGTACCACGACTTCGTTTAACCAACGTAACGACTCTACAAGGGAACTGTATAAGTTTTTACAGTAAGATTCCGGAGCATATATTAAGATTGTCTTTTCCTAAGTTGAAAAACTACATCAAAGATATTTTATTTGAAAAGTCATATTACAAAATTAAAACTACGTGTTAGATAAAGATATATGCAAAGACGACATGGCTCTATATTCCACTCAAATTTTATTCAAAGTGTATTTAAGTTTTTTTAAATAATATCAAGTCGTGCGCCTGATGGTAAGCTACACGCCTGTTCATAACAGTCGCAGTGCCAATCAGAGGTTTAAATCGCAAAGATCTGAGGGGCATTTTCACTGCGCCCGTCACCCTGAGACATATGTTGACAAGTCCCATGTGCCTGTAATTTCACCTGCACCCTTACCCTTCAAAACAGGAAAACAGTAATGCTGACATTACTGCTTCACGGCAGAAATAGGTAAGATGGCAGTACTTCCCTGGACGAACTCTTTCACAAGCGTCTCTACTGCTACTGCTACCAAGTTTATTTGAAAAGTTCTTCAAGTTTATTTGAAAGTATTGTGAAGAGTTCTTCTCAGGGAAGCCAGCATAGTGAACGAGCAGTAGCCTAAAAGTGACATTTACAAGTGCAAATTTATTTTACCTTTGAAATAAAACCGTTATCGTTTGAAACCCTATATCGCGAGTGTCATGGACATATACACATAGACAACCACAAATGACACCCAAACTCACGAAAGAAATAAATGTAGGCCATATTAATATTTCTTCCGGCCTATTAATCGAACCCGGGCATGGCAGACCAGCATGGTAACTGTTCGGCCACGGAGGCATAATGATAAACATGCTACTTACCGCTACAAGGATTCCAATGGTCTCGACCTCTCTTGTCTCGAGGAGATGGTAGTCAAAATATAATTTAGTAGCAGAAAAGCTTCTAGTGAGAGTTCGTCCAGGGAAATACTGCCTTATCTATTTCTTGTTCTTGTGTTTTTTGTGATGTAAAGCTCTGAGTGCCACAGCAGCTGCTGGACAGGCGTATCAAAGTCACACTTACCACAAGTCACGCGGTTTCTTCGCCCCGTTACGTGGTATCATTATTGGTTGGTTGACAAGTTATTTGTGCCTATAATTTCACCAGCATCATTACCCTGCAAAACCGGAACAGAGAAATGCTGACGTTACTGTTTGGCGGAAGAAATAGGTAAGGCGGCAGTACATCCCTGGACGAACTGTTTGACAAGGAGCTCTAGTGTTACTTAAAGTTATTAGCCAGAAGGTAATAAAGGGTGCAAATAAGGTCACAAAAAATGCCACCCATTAATATTTGTCTGCCCCGGTTCGAATAAGTCGTAGATCCGGGAGTGATTACACGATTCCAATATTTGTTATTACCGTCGAGAATAATAAAATAGACGACAATAGATCACTAAAACAACTAGGTCCAATTCCGTGCACATTTTATTCGAGGTGTTTCTTGTAGCAAACTAATGTATCTTCGTACTTTGCGTTTCCTCACTCAGATTCGACCTAAAACAATGCGCATTGGTTTAAATGGTGACCTATCACAAAGTCGAAAATTGGTTTTGTCCGAAATAAGGTTTGTTCGAATTTTCATTACACCGAAAACCAAATTATAACGAAACAGTTGTTCTTTCAGGATATGTTGAATGTTTATCGCAGAGACACGATTAGGTTTGGTTAGGTTAGGATAAGTTAGGTTTAAAAGAAAAATCTTTTTCCTCTGAAAATTACTTTCGAGATTATGAAATTTCGACCAAACCTTATTTCTGGAAAATGTTATTGCAGACTCTGATATTAGTTTAAATATTTTACAGAAAAAGGTGTTACATGCGATGTAAGGTACTTTAGGCAAATAAAGCCCTCTGGTTAACTTGGCCCATGGATTGAAAAGTAGCTTATCCGCTCACGCGATTCATGCGTCTCTGGAAGTATATCACACCTAGAGGTTCGTATAATATAGCAATTTTATGTTTCGTGCTATCCGCTCACGCGATGCGCTCCTCCCACCGCAAAATGGCGGCTATTTGGTTTCGCAAATTAGAAAAGCATTCAGTTTAAATACAAGTTTTTATAAATAAAAATTATTATTCTGCATTGCTAAATAAATACCCTCCGTATTACCAACAAACACATCTCAAATAAAATGCACTAATACACCGCAAATCCTGCACTTCAAAAGCACTAATGAAATTGTTGGTGTACTTGGGTAAATATGATAATATTCCGTTTGAGGGGTTCTAATGTTTACCATGAAATTACTCCTTAAAGTATAGCTTATACACATTTATATTCAGGGTAAACTTAAAAAACGCAACTTACGGTATGTTTTCAATAAATAAACACCAACATCACCAGCCCAAACAATAACACACACGATTGTCGTGACGTATTCCTGAAGGATTTTTTTTAAATGACAGACCCAGGCATTAAAAACTTTATGGTTTGCTAGAGTAGTTACCGAAATAGCAATTAATATTAGTTCTTTTACCTGTTATAACTTCGATATCCGATAAATCAGTATAAAATCATCACCGGCACCTCTAGGTGTGGTATGCGTCTACGGCTGCATGTATCGCGTGAGCGGATAACAAACTAGTTTTGTTATGTTTATGAATACAAAGATCGAAAACAGAAAAATTGCGTCGATCCAGTGGGACTTCAATCCATGCCCATGTTGCACCGTAGCATTGCTCTTTACCAACCGAGCTACGTGCCCAGATACCGACCCGTCGAAATTCTCCTATGTATTTTTGTTATAGACTTTACTTACTTTGTACTGGCTTACGGCATTTGTCTCCACTAGTGAAATCTACTGAGAGATTTTTGAATAACCTTCTCACCGCAGCCGATACCTTTACAGGTATCACAACTTCGGTCAAATATATATTGAGATTTTTTTTGAAATAACTCCTCTAGTTTTCTTATGATGATGAATACAGAGAAAGAAGGTGTGAAATTAGTTTTACCCGCCTAAATTCACGTTTGAACGAAACGCATAGTGCTGCCCGGGACCGGGAGCGTGTCAGATACGAGGTTTTTCTATCGTCCCGGAGCGAGAATTCGCCAGACAAGCGGAATCACACAGCTCGACTGCTGTAACACTGATTTTCAGTTGGAGCCGCTTTTATAGGATGGCACGAAAGAACTGATGTGGGTTAACACAAATAACTTAAAATTTGAGTGATATATTCCAAGATATTAATTTAAAATATTTTCTGATGATACCTCAAAGCCTCCGTCAGTGTGTTCATATGGTTGCTCAGCACAGAAGGCCGGTGCTCCAGCGTCCGGTTTTGGCACGTGCACCATTGACCTTCTACTCCTGCTTCGCTACACGATCTCGTGCTAGGAATCTATAATAGAAATAATTAATTTTACCTACTGTATTCACTTTACTTTTTAACCGATTTCAAAAAAGAAGGAGGTTATTAATCCGACTGCGTTTTTGTTTATGCATGTTACGGTACTTATGAATCGATTTCGATGATTATTTTTTTGTTGGAAAGGAGGTACAGGGTCGAGAGCACGTCAAGTTAACGGTACCAAAGGTTCAAATGTAACTCTATGCCGCTTGCAATAGGAACGGTCCAAAGTTTTGGTGTCAAGCTATATACCTCAGTAGTGGTACCGTTCAAATTTGATGAGATTGTATACAACATTATAATTGTTACTTACAGGTTCGAATAGAGTCAATCCTCTAGTGAGATGAGCACCTTTGATTTTATATGGGTTCCAATGTTCCCTCATATCAATTGCGTCCAATATGGTCGCGTAAATGTCGTAAGGGGTTGTAAGAACGTCTTCGTTTGATTGTAATGCCGACTCTATTTCTGGTCTTTTCGCTAATAATTTTTCCGGTAATACTATTGCCATTAATGGTAGACGGTGTTCTAGTTTTGCTTGATTCGTGACATGGACATCTGAATAGCTGGGAATTAACATTAGGTATGGATCGGTTAATGAAATTTTTGTGGCTTGGTACAAGAAATGCCTAACACCCATTAACTTACAATTATGTGGACGTCGAGTCCGCGCTAAAAAGTGTCCGAACTTATAGGGCGTTAAAATCGTATACAGAGCGTCATTCACGCTTTAGTCTTCGTTTGTTCGACTGACAGGGAAGCAAGCAAAATTAGACAGTACTGCGATGACATTACAATTTAAATTCAACGTTTTAGCTTTTTCATATTCTTTTACATGTCACTACGTTTAAATAGGTTGTCTTGGGACATTTTTTTCGTGGTTTTTGTATTAGACCCGTCGTCCATTTATTTGTAAGTCAATGCTAACACCCGATTACTTTACACACTTCTGACGCACTTCTTTTACCAAGCCACAGATTTAAGGGAAGGTTTTTTTTAAGAATTAAGGTGTTTTGTTCTAAAACGGTTTGCCATGTTTGCAATTAGCAGATGAGGTTTGACGTTTGTAATAACTAATAATAATAATGATAACGCCCACACTTATAAACCCGCACTAGGTAAGCCCTGTTGGGTAATTTTCTAAAAATTGTAAAATACATTCGAAGGCTCATACTATGTTCTTCGTTTACAAATATCGTGTGAAGTTTTATTTAACGTGAATCACAAAATAAAATAAAAATAAAATAATATGATTGGACAACTGCGAAAAAAACTTTTATAATTGCTCCATCGTTTTCATTCAGTAACGTCAATTTTTGCCAGTTGTCATCGTCGAATGTGGAAAAGTATAGGAAAAATATCCGGAAAATATTTTTTTTGAAAATGTAAACTTTTTCATGAGTCAACACTACCGTGTGTCGTGGGTGCCATGTGCCACACATATAGATAACTACAAAGTACATTATCTGCGAAGCAGACCAGCTTGGCAACCGTTAAATAACAATGTCGAAGTATACAGATAGAATACAGTATAAGATAAGTAATCCAACCCCTACCAGTTCGGTGCGTCAATGCCTACACATAGGGTTCTCACATTTATATTTTAGATATATCTACACGTTCCACGAGAATACTGCGAATAACTCAATTTGAAAAAAATAACGTATAAACTTTGTCAAATGCAATAGCTACAATGACATGTTGATATTTCTATATCAACATCGCATTAGTGTCTCGATTACAAGAATATGATTATGAAATATAAATGAAATACTGAACAATTCTAAATTTGAGACGCTCTAGTTCAAACGACCATAGAGATAACAATACTCGTAAATACGTCTACTATTTGATGTTATTCTTTAAATATCGAGCGAACGCTTCAATTCCATTATTTAGGCGCGTGTGTGACGCGACCCGCGCAGTATAACTCGAGTGCCGCGTGAGATTATACCAATGTGTGCATGGTTATACGTCGCGCGTTTATAAGGAGTTGCACTACTTGTCTTTTTGCGCTCACTTGACTCCATGATCACCCATAACCAATAACAGTGTGTTCGTGAGATGACCACTGGTTCTAAAATGCCGCAGAAAACGAACGAACTCTTTGTCAGCGCTGGTGATTTTGTTGAAATCATCGTGACTTGTACTCCGGATGAACGTGAAGCAAAATTTCTTTCGATCCAGTTGGAAGAACTGCAAAGACGTAAGTGGAATTTGACAAATGGGTAATTATAATAATAATAATAACACACACACTCAACCTAGGGGCTATGTTGAATGTTGTCCGCGACACACCCTGTGTCGCGGATGCCATGGACATACACATAGACGACCACAAATTACACCCAAAGTCACGAGAGAAATAAATGTAGGCCATACTAATATTTCTCCCGACCCGCGAATCCAACCTGGGACCTCTGCGTGGCATTCCGGCATGGTAACCGTTCGACCACGGAGGCAGTTAAATAATTCAAAAAAATCATGGCATATGTGTAACTTTGTGTTGCGGGGAGGTGGTTATGGCTATCTCCCTCAATGTCAGAAATGCCTTCAGCAGCCTCCCTTTCGAGACACTGACAGTAGCGCTCCGGTACCATATAGTGCCTCCTGATCCTGGGAAGCTGTTGAAGACGTACCTCCAGAACAAGGTGGTCATATGGGAAGGAAAGGACAGGAGGCTATACCAGGAGCGTGTCGGTGCGGTGTTCCACAGGGGTCTGTACTTGGCCGTATACTGTGGAACGTTGAGTTTGACGTTCGCGGTCCGCTCCTTTCCTGGACGAAGGTGATCTGCTACGCAGATAACACCCTTGTCACTACCCCACCCGGGGTACAGTGAGAACTTATGAAAGCTTGTGTTAAGTTGTTGTCAATATTTAATATTGCAACTTCATACCTGACGTCTGCTGGTCGCGACGGTCATTTTGTTCGGCAAGTCCACAGGTTGCGTATCTTTATATTAGCGAGATAGCAATGCGTCTGTCTCGCTCTTGCAAATAATGCAGGCCCTTTGATTGGTCGATTGTGTATGGAACACTAAGAGAGTATACTATTAAGCTCTTTTAGATTAGTGTAAGTATAGCGACGTTTGCCAATAAATGCACTGCTAACATATGCAGCCCCAGCACGGTATGCGCTGGTAAGAGAGTGCAATAGGCAGCGACTCAGAGCACAACAGTCGCTGACCTTGTGGTATATCATAGACGCCCCACGATACGTAAGGAATAACGTCATTCAACGGGACTTGAACATGGAGAGTCACGACAGCTTCGTGAATCGCTTGGCCAAGACCATGTTTCGACGCGCTGGACAGTACCACATCGAGCCCAACACCTAGACATGAAACCGCTTCAAAGGGAGCTACTTGGGCTCGAGGAAGGCCCACCGGACTATACATCAGCTGCTGAAGATGGTTGAGAAACCTGCCCGCCCACCGGCAGGGACTCCCATCTGAAGCAGCACACCTTACTGAGGATTGCACCCAACCCCATGACCCGCTCGTCTCCACGAGCGGCGATCGACCCCGCCGAAAGAAGTCGACGCCTCGAACGGCCCCCTCAAACCCGCTGACGCGGGCTTGAGACGATCACAAAACAATAAATGCATTCTGTTTCTGGTTCCAACTCTCATCATCAGAGTTTCACTGCAAAATAGGCACCTGCAGCTGAACTACCAAGGAAGAGCCTCTAAATTGGCGACCCGAAGCTCCTAGAATATTATTAATAGAATAAGTCACCTGTTCAGTAATATTCATCATAAATTCGTATTGTGGAGTGTCGCCAATGCAGTGAAAAGCATCGTCTCCAATTTCCAGATTTCTCAGGCGGTTTAACACTTTATAAAAATCATATAAGTAATGGTCAGCTGGGCTCTTGGCGAAACCATTGAAGCGAAATTGAAACGTGCCAATGTCCGGTCGGTCTTCGAAATATGCCGTGCGGTAACTGGAAATAAATCTAACGTAAATAAACATAAAAAGATTATTTGTAAAGAAACACGAACACGAAGTACGGACGTCCATTCCCGGCTGCCTTTCGCGCGCACACCATTTAGTACTCGTTGTTCGCTTGATCGCTTTTTTTGGAGAACTAAGTAAACATCTAGGATTCACTGTCGTTCAGCTATCAACCGCTAGATGGCAGCAAATTGATTGAAATATCAATATAATATCAAAACGTCGTCACTTGTAATAATAGGTACTACCCTTTAAAAGATATACCAACAGGGTAAAGTTTAAATTATATTAACAGTCCAGAATTTGCTACTTCTTTTTAAATTATGAATGTGCGAGTTTTGGCAACAGCGGTTCTAAAAGTAATGCGAGGCTTTTGAGGCCAATCTGTGGAGAGAAAACTATGAAAGTTTTTTCTTCACCAGTGGCTGACAAGGGATGTCGCTTTTTTAATTGCACTATCAATATAATAAATATTAAGATAAAAAATATATTTTTATATATAATATACATTTATGTATATATATATAATATACATATATACATTTTTTTAGATTCAATAGAGAGATCAATAGTTCAATAGAAGTACTAGTGTCTGAGTCAAACATAATCGGGGAAATAAAATTTGCCCGACTTCGCTGACATATGGAAAGAATGAGGAGGATGGAGCTGCGAAAAGGCCCGTCCAAGATATCGCTGGAAGGATAGAATCGACAAAGACCTAAAGGAGCTGAATGTGTCCGAAAGGTCGGAATTGGCACAAGACCGACAGAAATTGCGTCCTGTGATGTCGGAGACCAAGATCCACTTCGGGCCGCTGAGCATGAAATGTCAAATCTCTTCATAATCTGACACCCTAGTACTTCGTGCCTCCTACATTGTACGTCAGAGTGACATCATACCCTAATTTATCCAACCTGCGCTCGCGCCAATACGCCATTTTGGATTTTGACACGCTCACTGACTTATAATTGGTGCGATTCCGTGCTTTGTGACCGCCTGCTTCCTGCGCTATTTTGAAACCTGCGCTTCCGTGTGTTTGGGACCTACTACTTTGTGAGCCATTTTTTGTTAAACCTATTAATCTCCTAGTACAAATGGATAGGTCACTATCGGAGTCAGAATTGCCAGCGATGCAAGCAACCCCAACTAACTTCATTGTTACATGAAAAAAGAGAAGAAGGGATGAGGGTTACACTGTGAGTTTAAAAGAACAAATGAAAAATATGTTCTCTACTCTAATGATATCTCAGAACCATGAGTTTCAAAAAAATGCTAATACCCTGAAGGAAATACAAAAAACAAATCAAAATATCGAAAATTCAGTAGCCTTCTTGTCTGCACAAAATAAGGAATTTCAAGAGAAGATTAAGAAACTAGAAGGACAGATACAGGAAGACCGAAAATATATAACTATGCTGGAAGATAGGATTGAGGACATGCAGAAAGATGGACGTAAGGCAAACATAGAAATGAAAAATGTTCCCAGGAAAAATAGCGAAGCAAAAGACAGCCTTATTAACATGGTCCTAACCCTATCTAATATAACGGATATTAAAGACATCTATAGAATTCGTGGGAAAAAGAAAACATCTAGAATACGCCTATAATTGTGGGAACAAACTCTACAATACTAAAAAATGACTTTCTAAGGATGTGTAAAGTATTTAATACCAAACAAAGTCCAAATTGTGTGCTAAACATTTAGGACTTCGTCTCGGAGAAGACACTCCAATATTTGTCACCGAGCAGTTAACAGCAAAGGCCGCAAAGCTTTCCTTCCTCTCACGTGTCCTGGTTAAATCTCACTTGTATAAGTTTTGCTGGACCGCATATGGAAAAGTATACGTAAGAAAAGCGGAGAACTCGAGAATTATATTAATTAATAGTGAATCCCAAATTCGGCACCTTATAACTGGAATATGACTAGTTTTAGTTCTGAAAATTAACCTAAATCTTTTTTATTTCTTTATTTATATTTTACTGTTTTTTATTATATTCTTAATTTTTGGTTTTTTACTACATACTCTACAAACACAAAGACACAAACATCTTACCACACACATAAGTGCGCGCCTTTCGTTTATATATCACACTCACGCACAACATACCATTATATACAACTCACTATGATATCTGGTTTAATTTTTAATCAATACTATTACGAATTATTAGTTACTGCCAACTGTAATAAAATTGTACCATATAATGGATAGTACACATACTACCGTAAACGAAATTGACAAAGCCCAAATTTATATCTCTATTCAGTGTGACATACCGTATTGTTAATACAATAGTGTATTAACTCAAAAAGGGGACTTTCTCAGAATCGATGAAAAACGAATTACTCACTTCCCCCAAAAAAATCATGAAAATTTATATGTTATAGTTTATTATAGACACTTAAACAATTTCTCAAATATATTTAACAATAAAATGGAAAAAATAATTTCGTGTTTTTGAATAAGGATTATTTTGGTCTGAACTAGCTCACATAAAGTGTGTCTCATTTTGAGTTAAGTAGATGTCTTTTGATTGTTTCTTACAATATTCTAACGACGGTTTTTTTGAAGTGTAGAGAATCAAGTATTACGTTCAGTAATGATATAATATTAAAGTTCACATATTTTAAGTTACAACACTATTCAAATCAAATCAAATGCATTTATTCGTCAACATAGGATACAGTACATTGAAATACATGGTATTAAATAAGTTATAGCGACTCTCTATGTTGCACCTTCAGGCATACGAACTACATAAGTGGATGATGAACATAGTTATTTTACTTAATTATTATTTATTTACTTAATTACTAAATTTTATTTAATGTCAAATTACTTAATTATTACCGAAATATTCGTTTATAAAGTAAAATGTTTCATTAACAAGGTATTCAAATAGATTTCTTTTAAATGTTACAATGTCCTTAATGTTCCTTATGTCAGATGGTAATTTATTATAAATCTTGGCACTCATTGCAATAATACTATTACATAGGAGGGCAGACCTGCCACCTACAGACAATATCCTGCCATATCTGTGTTTCGAAAAGGGTACTTCTCCTGCATTCCTCAAAAAATCTTTAATCACGCCGGTGTACAAGAATGGGAGCAGAAGTGACGTAAATAATTACAGGCCTATTTCAGTATTGCCTGTCATATCAAAAATTATTGAACAATCAATAAACACTCGACTCATTTCTTACCTAGAGGACTACAATATTCTTTCACATTGTCAGTTCGGTTTTAGACGCGGAAAATCTACAGAGGTTGCGGTATCCGCTTTAACATCGTCCATAACTGAAGAACTAGATAAGGGAAGAAAATGTTTGACCGCTTTTCTTAATCTCAGAAAGGCCTTTGTTACCGTTTCGCATCCCATTCTTGTACAAAAGCAAGAATCAATTGGTATAAGAGATGTTCCATTGAACTTACTGAAGGATTACTTGTGTGACCGAAGACAGAGAGTAAAAATTGACAGTTACATTAGCAAAGACTCAAGGATCTCTTTTGGTGTCCCTCAAGGTAGCGTTCTGGGCCCTACATTGTTCTTAATATACATTAACGATTTAACAAATTTACATATAGAAGTTGGCCGCATTTTCTCATATGCTGACGATACTGCAATCATGTTTGCGAGCTCAACGTGGAGTACAGTTTTTAGAGATGCCGAATCTGCACTTACAAAACTAGCAACTTGGCTCCAATATAATCTGCTCACATTGAACACCGCAAAATCAAGCTACATATGTTTCACCATCAATAGCAGGACCCAACCAAATAATGATTTCCTTCTGAAAATTCACCGATGTGGTAAAATACCGACCATAGTAATTGTGAATGTCCTGCTATTAATAGAGTGATATCTACCATGTATTTAGGTGTTGTCTTGGATTGGCGTTTGAGTTGGCATTTTCAGGTGGAATTTATGTGTGATATTAACGTGGATATTAAGGAAATTAAGACATTTTACCAGCAAAGAGTTAATTAATCAAATATAAATCGCCTTCGCTCAATCGGTAATGGGATATTGTATTACTGTTTGGGGCGGTGCAAATAAAAAAAAATTGTAAATAAAAAAAATCTAGAAATTGAAAGAAGTCAGCGGTGTTTGCTGAAAATAATGTATTTCAAACCTTTTAGATTCCCACAGACGAAATTTACAAATTCTGTGATCTTCTAACTGTCAGAAAGCTGTATGTAATGTCAACAGTTATTCGACTTCACAAGTCTTTGCCTTTTACCCCTGAAGTAATGACTAGGAGAAGGAAAGACAGAGTTGTGGAAATACCACAAACAAAAATGAAATTTGCCCAAAGACAATACACATTACAATCTGCGTATATTTACAACAAATTGAATAAAAAATTAGAAATATATCACCTAATTCCCGTAAATGTAAAGAGAAAATAAAAACATGGCTAGTAACTATAAATTACAACGATACGGGAGTATACTTACAATCTTATAATCCTGCTTTGGAATAGGACAGAACATTATGACAATGATAACAATTACAAAAATAAATAAAATAATAACAAGATTAATATTAGATTATAACCCAGTAGAAATAATATTAGAATTACAATATAACTACAAAGAAAATATTATTAGAATCAGAACATGGTTATGATACGATTCACACACGCACGCACACACGCACGCACGCACGCACGCACGCACGCACGCCCTCACGCACGCACGCACGCAAGCACGCACGCACGCACGCACGCACGCACGCACGCACACACTCTTTTAGACGTAAGGAAAAAAATAATTAAAAATCTATTGTTTTATTGTTTGCCGTTTTTACTAAAACATGTTTTAGTTAAGGAAAGCGAGACCTCCTGACACAAATATTCAATTACTTAATAGGATGGTCTCAACATCTGTTTTATTTGTTATACCGATTGTACTTCAATAAAAACTTTTTGATTTAAAGTAAAATAATTTCTACTCACCCATCCTCCTTCACTTTGTCAAAAATAAGATCGGTGGTATGAAATTCCCTTTTGCCAAATGATTTCCTGCTGTCAGCAAAGTCCCACTCTGTGTGTCCCGTCAGCAAGGGCAACACCGTTGCTTCAGTACCTTCTCCTACAGCATTGAAGCTAAAAATAAACGCTTTTATCCTTATATATATAGCTCATTATATTTATATTTATTTGTTAGAAATGAAATACTCCAAACCACGTAACGAATAAGGAATTATATTTTCACCTCACTAACTCGGAAGCTCAGATTACAATGTAATCGGAGCTCGGAAGGCTTTCTTTCTTATTAGAAATCTGCGCGCAAAAGCGTTAGGTTTAGAAATTCGAACTTGACGATGGACTATGGACACTGTGGTGCACCTAACTTTTCTTTCGATAAAGAAAAACATAATGACACGTTCAACTACGTATAAGTTTTTACAATAAGATTCCGGAGCATTTATTAAGATTACCATTTCCTAAGTTTAAAACTTACATTAAAAGTAATTTAATTGAAAAGTCATATTACAAAATTGCAGAGTATGTCTTAGATAAAGATGTATGGAAAGACAACGTGAGTCTAGATTCCACACAAATATGATACAAAATGTATACTATAGCATTTAAGTTGATTTGAAACGAGCAATCCCTAGAGTTTCTTGCTCGTTCTTCTCAGGGAGGTCAGCGTAGTGAACGAGCAGTAGCTTAAATAATGACGTTTTCAAGTGTAAAAATTTTACCTATGGAATAATTGATTACTTGATTTTGACACGATTTGTCGAACATTATTTATGTAGTACAAATCCGTTAATATATTTTATTCTTATTATTGTTGACATTAAATTAGACAAATAGTTAAACAATAACGAAATTAGTTATTGCTGTCAACTATTTGTCTTTTTTTTATTTAGTTTGTATTCATCTACCATTTTCCTCGGCAGCAAAAGCTGTTTAGCGTCTCGGGTCTTGAAACCGTCGCTAAACTCAGGATTACATTTTTGAACCACTTGCTTCACTCGTGGTTCAATCTTAGCTTTCTTCCCTTGCCCAGGTTTCAATACAAGCTCTCGCGTCAAACAACAACCTTGCAGCATTGCATAACAAATAACTATTAATACCATTTCATATTTTATTATTACGTGTTGATGAGGCGAAAGATATGTGCCAGTATCTTATCTAGGAATGCTATGGCCTCTGCCTACACCTATGGGCGAAGGGCGTGAAGTGTTTTAATTTTTATTATGATGTCAAGTGACAGGAAGGAACAAGTTGTGCGCCTGGTTGTAAGCCGTGTGCATATTTATAACAGTTGCAGTGATAAAAAACTTCAAATCGAAAATACCTGAGGAGTGCTACCACAGCGCCCATCACTCTAAGACAAAGATAAGGAACTCCACGTGCCTATAGTTTCATCTCCATTATTCATAGATGTCCGGGACATTTTTAATTGGGGCGCATACATACATTGCCCTCTTAAATGAACTTATGACTTTGTGGACAAGAAATGAACTTATGACTTTGTGGACAAGAATATGAATAAAATCCTGTTTATTGTTATTAGAATTCTATTGAATTCACATTTCTTATATTAAAATTAAAACTAGATAGCAGTAGAGCTAAGTACTCTACTGCTTCACAAGTGTGAAAGAAATCGTCCAGGGAAGTACTGCCACCTTACCTATTTCTGTTGCCAAGCAGTGACAGCATTAGGTACTGTGTTCCGGGTGTTACTGACGGGGCAGCGCAGCGTGTCATTAAACGGCTGGGCAATTTTCAATTCGGATAAATGTAAATTTAATTTCTATAGAGTTTGAGTTAAAATATCAAAATTTAGCAAGTTCTCTGCAGTACTTCAAGATAAATATCTCCATGTAAAATTACGTGCAAAAATAGATATTTTATTGTTAAAAAATAATTTTTTTTATAATATCAAGTAACGGGACGAACAAGTCGTGCGCCTGATGGTAAGCTACACGCGTATCCAACAATTGCAATGCCACTCAGAGCTTTAAATCGCAAAGATCTAAGGGGCACTGCCACTGCGCCCGTCACCCTGAAACATGAGTTGAGCACATTCTTCAGACAATATCTTTAAGTATTAGGGGTTAAAGTATGAAATTGCCGTTTTATTGCAATAGGTTCTTTGAA